ATGTCCCTTTAGCTTGACCTAAGTAGTCTATTTTCTCACCCCTCAACTCTTTGTTATGTATATATGCTGAGTGGAATTTGTAAATTCCGGTTTGATAATACTTTGATAAAGCTATTAGCAGCAGCATTAATTATCGAAACGTCAGTAAAACCAATATCGTTTTGCAAAATACAAAATGTTTTTATTATAATGAATAACATACACCTAATGCCTAAATTTCTTTTTTAAACTGTTAAAGTTAACTTGATTTGGACATATATAACTTCGTCAGTGTAACTCGGAATTTTGTGTGAATGAAAACGGTTTCTTTTGGCGTTTCATTCTAAAATGGTTTTAAACTCTTTACTACTTCATGTGATCAGAGAGAAGACAAAAAGTGGTGACGTTACTCATCCACCGAGAAATAAACACGAGCCATTATGGAGGAAGTCATATATTTCACCTATCGTGATAACATGGTTTCAACTACAATCTGCATGGATGGAGATGAAGCATTTTTATTTTATTTTATTTCCACTATAAAAAGAACTTAGTCAGAACACTGTTCAGCGCAGCACGGAAAATTTGTTCTTACAGTACTATTGAGCATAAAATAAAATCTCTGAAGAATATTTTATCCAAGAATGTATATCCTGAGAAGTTCATTAATAAATACTCTGAAGAAAATACCCCCGCAAAACTATCCAAACCGTTCCAAAGAAATCTGTCTATATCAGTTTGCCGATCAAAGGAGATGATATACAGGAAGTAGTCAAAGGAAGACTTGATAAAGCCATCAAGAGTAATTCTTATACTGCAAAACTTGTTATTCTTAACACCGCTAAGCGAGTGCTTCAACAATCTGGGAAAGACCAGTCGCTAATGCTAGACACTTCCAATTGCGTATATAAATTTAAGTGTGTTTGTGGAAACAAATGCATTTGTTGTACAGAGAGGCGATTGTCTACTTGCATGATGGAGCATTTGCCAAAATGGTTGAAAACAGCTGAGTGCAAAGTGCCAAAATCCTCAATTACAAAACATCTAGTGGACTACGGACATGATATCGACGCGGTCAAGTCATTCACTGTTGTCAGCAGACAAAGAAACAGGAAGATGCTTGCAATTTCGAAGAAGGCTTGTGCCACTCGAGTATATAAACAAGGTCTCTGTGTAAAAAAGCAGATGGTCATCACTCTGAATCTACCATGGTAATACGTTTCACTTATTATTCTACCTCTTATTATTATTCTTGATTCATTTAAAACTATCCTTTATCATTAGGACTATCTTGACTCGCTTCAAAACGATTATTATTGTTATTATAACTATTACTATTGGTATTACTCTGTTTGCAATTCTTGATACATTTTCTAATGACTAATTGTTTATCTAAGTGATATAAATGAAGCGTAATGCATTTTATCTTAATTTCAATCTCTCATACTCTCTCCCCCCACTTATCTATTTGAACATGACCTGGAGAACATTCTCACCTGTCTTTCTGCATGATTAATTCAATGTAGTTTGTTTAACTATCAGTCTTATATTTCCCAATGTAATTTGAAAAGTATGTATATCCGTGCATGTAGAGTATTCAGCTGAGAAGTTCTACCGAAATTTGACGAATTCAATCGATCATGCTTTATTATTGCTTGTTTTAAATTTGTATCAGGAAATAAATGTTTTCAATTTCATTAGAGTTGTTTTATAAAATTATCTAGAAAGTTAGGACCGAGTGTTGGAAATGGTGTTAGATTTCAGCGCTTGTCAAGGTTTTCAACTCATTAGCAATTCGACAGTGTGGCCTATCTTTCACTTACTGGATTTCATCATGAACCTACATTGGTTAGAGAACCATTTGAGATTCAGCCGAAAGGATTACTGCGAGACAGCTGTTTCGTTGTCCTAAGCTGGGACTCCCCTTCGTCGGTACGTACCCACAAACAGGGTTCGAGTTCACTACCTTCAGAGCAAAAGGTGAGCTCATAGAACATTTAGCCAATGAGACCTTACCCAATGGCCCACGAACTCCAACTTCTGCGATTTCACAACAGAATGCGACCAATGGCCAATGTCTTCGTCGAGTATTTGTCCTCATGCCCGACTTTATACAAACTACTGCTGGTCACGACTTCCCACTAGAACTCAAGGTTGGTGAGTACTGTGAAGAAACTCAAACCAGTATGAAAGAGCTTTCCAGTTCTCTCAGGATTTCGGTTGGTTCTCAAATTTATATCAGCTCAAGATGAAATCTTGTAACGAATCAATCGAATCTCTACAAATCAATAGTTGAAAATTACACTTAGTTTTTCTGTCGCCTTCTTTATACATGTCAGGTGAACACTTAACTATCTTGGTTCTTATACAGTAACAGTTTTCACCTTATCGAACCGTGATTTTTTATTTTGCCTGCATCATCGACAATATATATGAATATATAATAATCCCATGCATAATAACCTATGAGAAGTTGCACTCGCTTTACATGGCAAGGATTATCCCTCACTAAAGTGAAAGAAGGAATATGAACAGTAAGCTCTTGCTACTGCAGTAGTGGACACGCACATGTACTTGGGTTGAGGAGCTAGAACACCTTGATTTTCAAATATATGGTGTATGCAAATAGCCAGTGAAGGATGACGGTGGAAAGTCAATCACCAAAGAAGTGAAGCAAAGAAAACACTGGGCTGAACACTTCAAAAGACCGGAACAGGTTGGATTCAGGAGGAAGAATTCATGTACTAATCAAATTGCTACACTACGGACGATCACTGAACAAAGCTTAGAATGGCAGTCACCTCTCCATCTCAACTTCATCGACTCTGAAAAGGCCTTCGACAGGGCAGCGTCGATTGAGAGGTGATTTGGCAACTACTTCGCTACTACGGGGTCCCATCGACAATTATACATCTCATCTAACAGTTATACGACAATGCTGCACGCCAAGTAATCCACAACGGGAAACTTACGGAAGCCTTCGAAGTAAAGGCAAGAGTATGACAAGGCTAGCTGCCTACTATCACCAATGATTTTCCTAATTCTGGTAGATGAAATGGCCAGAAAGGATCAGCAACAGGGAGGGATCTACGGGAGCCGACCAACCAGGAACCGATTGTGCCACAAATATGCAGGAAGAAATGGAGATGGATTGGCCATACTCTGAGGAAACCATCAAGTGACAGCACTAGACAAGCCATTGCTCGAGTGGAACCCGAAAAAGAAGAGGTGAGTTGGTCGTCCCATGGTGTGGTGACTTGGAGGAGGTCATGTGGAGAAGAGATGAAAACATGCAGGCATACTTCAAGCCCACTTGGAGGGAACCAAACGAAATGAATACGCCAGGCTGAAGCCCTACATTCCTCTAGGAATTAAAGGAAATAATAATAATGTAAATCGTCCCCGGAAATCCCAAAGGATAGAATGTGTGTATGCATCTGATTTAGTCATCGAAAACCATTGGATGATCAGTGATCCTGACGCTGCTCTACTGCTTCATAGATCAGGCTTCAACTCAGAGGCTTTGTAAGGGTGTGGACGGGTTGGAAGGAGGCCCCTCAGGACAACCACCTCCTTCGGCTGGAGAAAACCTATGTAATTATAGATGACTTCTGCAAATCCATTCATACTTACGGTATTCAAACCTAATCACTGAGGTCGATGATGATTGCCAGATTCAAGTACTCAGTTTGTGAACAGCATTAAAGGCTTTAAATTCTCGATATCTGACGAAAAATCACACACACAAAAAACACTCACCAACATGGTTTTACAAAGGAGAAAAACGATGCCCCCACAACTGCATCTTAGAACATCTGATAAAATCCCGAAACCAAGCTACACCCCAAACAAACTTTACAGTCGTCTACAGAGTAAGAAGTAGTCTTGCTAAAGGTGTACAAATCAGACTTCTTCAAACTGTAGAAGTAATAGCAATTCACTTGCTAAGTCCTCAACTCTGTATACAGAAGAAGTTCGTTCAATCACTACACTTGCCATGGATGTAATCTATCCTATTACCCGACAAGTAAATTCTACCTAATCTATTTTTCTGTTTCTTCATTAGCATTATTTTGCCTTCTTACTTGTAGTATTTTACGTTTTTAACTGTCGTGTTCTATACCCCCACCTGATTTAATTTGTACACCTCATTGCCACTGTTACTAACTTGACCAACGCTCAATTTGTAGTCATTTATGTTACGTCATCCAATATATATGGCCAATTTCAGTTCCAATTTAAGTGGCATTATTCTCTACCCCACTTCTACTTAGTCTCTACCTGTAATTACCTCTGTTGTTACCCTGACCTAAGTTGAAACAGTACGCATCCACCGGGATTCGAACCCAGGACCTTCTATTTACAAGGCAAGCTCTTATACCAATGAGTCACTGGAACCCGATCCAATGGCCCATGAATTCTATGTCGTGAATTGGTAGAAGTTAGAGTTCATGGGCCATTGGATCGAGTTCCAGTGACTCATTGGTATACGAGCTTGCCTTGTAAATAGAAGGTACTGGGTTCGAATCCAGGTGGGTGCCTACTGATGAAGAGTCCTAAACTAGGACGAAACAGCTGTCCAGTGCTCCCAGTTTTTTCCAGTGGTTCTCTAACTAATTTTAGCTCTTGATAAAATCATGTGACCAATCAAATCCCTACAAACCAACACTAGACTAGGTTCAATACAGTTTAGTCAATTATATGACGTCATCTAACTTACTAACTAACTAACTAACTCAATCTCACTTAAGTTGCTGTCTTATTTACCTTGTTTCTATATCAGATCATTCTTTTATTATCTAATTAGTTATCTAAATTTGACAAACCTCATGTACACATAGACCCACAAAAATAATTATATATAAATGCGCTTGTACAGCTAGCTATGTGAATGAATTCGCCGTCGAAAAGAGTCCCTTCGCTGAACGTCTTCCCTTTTTTCCCTGATGACTCAATGGGGATTTTCAAACTACAAAATAAAAGGTCAGAAATAAAAACAGCCAGCGTGATAATGACATATGTATATAGTTATATATATTCTGTACAGAATTTAATACAGCTTTCAAATTGCTCAGAGGTTGTCGAGTTGTCGTTAAAAACAAAATGTCAAAATGTCAATTTACAATTTTATATACAGATTACTTGATCATAACATATTAGTCAACAAATAACTCATTTGCAGTGTAACTCTCTATCCATCTATCCATAATAAATCAGAAAGCATACATGCACACATACAAACCACTGAACATGATATCATTATGATGATCATTTGAAGGATCTACGCGATTTCAACGAATTCATATGACTTTCAGATATAGATGAGGGTGGAATTGTACGAATAATTGGTAAGCGATGATTATTGGTCTTATTATTATTATTATGATTATTATTGTTACCATTTGTATTCTTCTTCCCTTTCTTTATCGATGATGTTCCACGCGTTTGATCATCTGAGTGTGTTGATTTTTTCATCAAACCTTTTGGTATACACACTATAATACATGAATAGAAGAGTCGATATATATCCTGACGAAATGTCTTATTTATCCATGCATAGATAAACGGATTATAACATGTAGATGAATCACGTGCAAAGTTAGCAGCAGCCCAAACTTTTAAGGCATACGATTTAGTCCAAAAATCAATATTGATTAATCCATGTAAGTAGATTGCATGTCTTGGTAACTGGGATAGACCATACATCAAGGCGACTAAGGTGAGCATTTTTACCATCTGAAAGAAAAAAAATAAATATGAAAAAAAAAGTAAAGCGAAATGATTAGATAGGTTGAATGAAGTTAGAATTCATTAAATGTTTTCTTTCAGAAAGTTGAACTACTCGGATTATTATTATTATTATTGTTTCCTTCAGTCCCTAGAGGGACATAGAGCTTCCGTTACACGTCTCTATTGCTTTCGGTTCTCCACCAAACGTTTTCACCTGGCTCCAAGCTTTCCCAAATGCTTTCATTTTCTCTTCATATGACCTCCTCCATGTCATTTAGATTCCACTCGAGCAATGGCCTGGTGTGTGACATCACTCATGATATTTTTTAGAGTATGGCCAATCTAAAGTGTCAAGCCTCTGATCCGTATAGTGAGCATGACTGACTTCGTATTAAAGTTGTTTCTCAGTCTGAGTGCTTTGGAATTCCACACAGATTTGAGAGTAACGAAAGATTATCTTGATTTCACGAACCTCGCTCTGAATTCTTCGTCATTTCCATCCGCCTGTAGTTGAGACGATGCTTCCCAGGTCGGTAGGTAACTAAAATGAGGTTGATTCCTCCAGATTTCTGCCATTTATGCTGATTGCTGTCTCTTGTTGTCGTCTGAAGGCCTATCTTCTCCAAATGCTTCTCCTGCCAACTTGTTGCTTTACATCACTTACATATCTTCTAGTTTGTGGGAAATCAGATAAATATCATCGACAAAGCCCAGAGCCTCCACGTTTTTCGTGTGGTTCCGTTGTGGATTACTTGGAATGCAGTATTGTCGCACAACTGTTGGGTGAGGTGTATAATCGTTATTGTTTATTTATTTAAATTCAATTTTAGATTTTCCCTTCGATTGATTGGACGAAAGAGCTCGGTCTCAGGTTGGTGTGTCGGCTTCTTATGCAGATGCTTCAACGATGTCCAGGTATGTAATCATAAGTCAAGTGATGGATGGTGACTAGCAGTGGAATCCATCCAGGATGCGCATTTCGTTTAATTTGGGGCTTGTCATCATCTTATTCTATTCTAGATAGCCGTCTGTTGATGGCTTCAAGATCAACTCTCCTCCATGTCTTCGCATTCAGGTTCAACTTGATAGTCTAAAGCCCGATAGCACCCAACAGTCTTCCCAGTATGTGTACACCTCATATATATATATATATATATATACATATATATGTATATATATATATGTAATTTCGAAATACCCGTTGGCTAATAGGTTTGTAATCATTATCATGCCAATCTACAGTGCCATTTAAACTTGCAAACTCACTCAGGCAGGGCAAGCTCTGTAGGTTAAACAACCCTGTAGGCTGACTCAATTAAACAAAAAAAATATAATTTACAAAATGCCTCGTGATGACTGTGAAAGAGGTGAACTACATAGGTTAGATTGTCAGAACATAAGAATGTAGCTAGGGTAAGAATAGTTGACCCTACTTGCGAGGATAAGTAATTTAGAAAAACTCAGCAATTGCTTTGCGTGCATTAACAACGCTCAACCACACAATAGTGTGGCGGGAGAAGGTTAAAATTCTAATAAGTAATATAGTTTGTTGCAGAGAGATTGATTACTGAATCCTTGTTCATCGTGCCTTAGCCTAACACGTACAATAGGAATGACTCATCATTTATACCGGAAATATGGAAAATACTACTACCAATCAAGTCAAGCAATGAAAAATAACGGAATTATAAAAACGAAGTTAGAAAGTTGTGTGCGTGGTGTCTTATATGATATGATTATGAGCAGCAGTCATAAATTGTCCCGAAACGTGATCCTCAGTAAATATTGCTGTATAACAAACACTGTGAGACTTAGTCAAAATAAATTTTACCCATAGTGGAATTATACTCTACCACACTGCACAAGTTCTATTTTTATATCAAGGTTTGTGGTTAGTTCATCACCATAATCCCTTGCTATTCACCACTTCTCTCCCTCTGATTTTCACTGTTAAAGGAAGCTGGGTGTTTTAAATGTTCTCGGTGACTCATGCACCAAATCTTCGAGTCGTACAGAAATACTGACTGACTTTACATCAAATCAAAAATCCGAGTCTTATTCCTTGTACTAAGTGTATATACAGTACAGATTTTTATTATTTTTTTATTACAGTTTGATTCCACAACGTATTTTGGTACAATATGGAATTTTCAGCATGTGATATCGGTAGGTCGAATTTTGCAGGCCGACCACAGATATCAGATATGCGTCGGGAAGGGGTCGAACCTCGAAGCATGTGTATGGTCGGCGAGAGTCTTAACCACTGTGCCACCGACGCACAGTGGAACTTACATATATTAACGACAGTTGTTCGAAAGCCAGTTCTAAGTGATTTAAAACACCGGATGGCAGTTTCGCTAATTTGAGTCCCACATCATCAGCGATGTACTCAGTTTGACCTGGGATTCTCCAAGCCCACTAATGATTCAGACTAGCTGTGACACCATTTATCTCAAAATGGCAGAAATATAAATGCATCTGACCATTACTGGATCGCTCCTCAATGATAAAATAGTCATTCAGGATCATGAATGCATATCATTGATTAGTTTGAAGCTATCAGGGAAAACAATTGCGGTTTTTAATAGCTATCAAACTGATATCAATTCGCCATGTAACCAGAGGAATACAATTAACTTTGACGATTATATTATGGTAAAATTTTGAGAAAATGCCTTTATAGTGTACTTTCTTCATTGATTTTTATTGTTTTCATTCCCTTTTCTCTTCTGTTATTATTTTATTTAACCTACTGTCAGTTTTCTATTTGAGGACGTTCGTGAATCGAAAATCATAGTTGTGTGGTAATCATGATGAGTAGTACTCAAACTGTCTGATGTATTTAAAATCTTGTTATGTAGTTCTGTATAGTCTACATATGTCATATTTATTTATTTGTGTTTTCTACGAGCGTTTCGTGTATTTAAAAATTACGAGATCTAGGTATTGATAATTCTTCCGGGCTTAGGACTCACCAGCATCGCGCACCCACTGAGGATTTCAACCCAAAACATTCCGGTTACAAGGCAAGTTCGTTTAAATTCGGCCACTGACAGTATCCAATTCAATGGCCCATGAATTCAAACTTCTACCGATTGGTGATTTCAGAGCAGAATACATATGGTTATCTGGCTGACGTGAGCTCATGATGAAATCCTCCATCCAATCAAACAATCCCCCCCTTCCAAAACCAACACCTGAAAATTCATTTGATTCTCACTAGCAAATGGCTCTTTTTTTCGAGCCGTGACTAATACGCTACAACAGGTTGAAAATTAGGCAGTAACTCATCGAAGAAGAAGATATTGCGAAGTGGCTGCGCTATGTCATGAATTGGTAGAAGTCAGAGTTCATTGGCTGGCCACTGCCTGGATTCTCAGTCGCTGAATCATATACGAGCTCGATAGCCTTGTAATCAGAAGGTCGTGGGTTCAAAGTCTTGTGGTGGGTGCGCACCATTGAAGAGTCCCAAACTAGGACGAAACAGCTGTTCAATCCTCCTAGATTTTGCAGCGGTCCTCTAAATGATGTCATCTTATGATGATGAAAATGATTTTAAACAAAGTAGGACTGCTAAAATGACAAATGTAAATAAATATTAAGATAAATTGGGGAAAATTCGCAACCCTTGTGAATGGATGCAACTGGTAGGGCTCTGTTCTTCTAGCCACTTGGTAATTGTGAATCTCTTTCCCACTATTGCAAAATAACTACACTGGAAAATGCATTTTGTTAAATTCATATTATTCTACAGATGGCTTAAAAATCTTTCTTATCCGTTAACCTATACAATTTCATTTCAATTACTTATTATACCCGTATTCTTCTGAACGCAAGTATGAATCTTTGCATATGGTCAAAGTATTGAAACAGACTTCTTCAAAATATCCCATTAACAGGAATATATAAAAATGTGACGTCATAGTTACATTTCTTCCCTCTCGGTGTAACATTTTAGTCACTGTCAAATCACAATCTAGGATGTCTGTTAAAGCAATTAAAATACCTTTTTATATTGACTACTTTCCAACTAACAAGTCGCATTATTTAACAACAGAAATTTTGTTGAAAAAATGGTTTAAACCCAACAAAATAAAAATAAATTTAAACCACATTTATGCCCTTCAGATTATGTCCTTCTTGGTCAAACATTTTTTTTGAAATTCCAGAGGCGATTAAAGCAGAGATAAACCGACTGTTGAATTTTATTTTGTTTAAATTTTATGTCGGGTTTCACTGTTTAATGTTAGCAGAAAAAAACGGCGTTTCTTAAACATTCTTTTGCTTCAATTTTAAGACAAGGCAAAGTAAATAAATAATTGAAAATGGTGTGAAGTAGGACATTCTAACTAAATCTCATATTCTTTCAACTTTTTTTTATGTTTATTGGGGTATTTCATAGGATTTCGAAAGCTACAAAATTTATCGATGAAAATCCCAGGTGAAATCAGGAGATTAAGAGTAGAATTATTTCTTGACGAGTCTTTTTCTTTTGTATCAAGGAGACTCATCGTATTGAAGTTTCTATAGCAGTTTGGTTTACAGGGTGGGGTTGCTAGGCTCAAACCTGAGAAGAGGGTTGTTATATAGATGTATAATTTACAGTGGGGCGAAATTTTGAGTTGCCCCCTTTAGAATCAGGGAAACAAGAAATAAAGCAAGCAGAACAGCGACAACAAAAAGGAATCACACCTGGAAAGGCAGCGACAACAACAGCAAAACCAGTGACTCAATGATTTGCGTCAACTTGGGCAATTAAATCCAACAGCATATAGAATTATAGATATTCGTTAGTGTTAAATAGTCACAAAATCCCAAACAGTTGGTTATAGGTAAGAATAGTCAAGAAGATCATATCCACAGATTCAGTGAAGCTTTTGGGTGAGAAACACCAGGGAAATGACAGTTTTTGTGGAGAGGCTGTAAGTTTAGCTAGCAGTGGTGTTTATTTTTACGGGATGGGGCTATTAGCCGCAAGCCATTCAACCCCCTCTCTACTCCAGTCT